GAGGGTCATAAGGACAGAGGGATGTCGTATGCTGTAAAGCCCTGTGAGGCAAATTGTGATTTGTGATATTGGGCTTTATAAATAAAATTGATTGATTGATTGATTGATCTGCGTTGTTGTTGTAAGCTACTGTCATTACCGTCTGTCCTGCATCTCTCTCTCTCTCTCTGTCTCTCTTTATATCTCATTGTGTCATACGGATTACTGTTAATTTATTATGCTGATCTGTTCTGTACGACATCTATTGCACGTCTGTCCGTCCTGGAAGAGGGATCCCTCCTCAGTTGCTCTTCCTGAGGTTTCTACCGTTATTTTTCCCCGTTAAAGGGTTTTTTGGGGAGTTTTTCCTTATGCGCTGTGAGGGTCCAAAGGACAGAGGGATGTCGTATTCTGTAAAGCCCTGTGAGGCAAATAGTGATTTGTGATATTGGGCTTTATAAATAAAATTGATTGATTGATTGATTGATTGTCCTAACTAATCACCTGTGGTTTAAGTTACAGTTGTTAATAGTTGAAAGTTGAAGGTTTACTGTATTAACTGTCTGTATTTCAACAGATCGTCGTCAGTGGTGTGCAATCGGAGTGTTGCTCGCAATTCTCTTCGTTGTCATCCTTCTCTTCTTCATTCTGTGATTGATGCCTCCCTTCTGTCAGCACAGAGTACGTCTTAAATCTGCATCTACTGGACCCTACCGGACTCTACTGAACTCTTCTGGACCCTACCGGACTCTACTGTACTCTTCTACATCCTACCGGACTCTACTGAACTCTTCTAGACCCTACTGGACTCTACTGAACTCTTCTGGACCCTACTGGACTCTACTGAACTCTTCTGGACCCTACCCGACTCTACTGACCTCTTCTGGACCCTACTGAACTCTTCTGGACCCTACCAAACTCTACTAAACTCTTCTGAACCCTACCGGACTCTGCTGAACTCTTCTGGACTCTGATGGCTCACTTTGTGTGAAACCATGAAACAAAAGCAGAAACAGTTCAGTCCAGTAAAATCCTGGTCCTGAAGCAGCTGGACTGAAGACACTTTGGACGATACCATTCTGGGATTTAAAGGTTTTAATCAATGACCTATGTCATCCTAAGGGCAGGTAACACACCTGAGGACAGGTAACACACCTGAGGGGCCAATCAGGCTTCTGGAGAAATAGGAGACTGAAGCTTTAATGTAGTTTAACATCAACACAAACTTCAGATTAGTCCCAGTTTAATCCCAGTTTTATTCCAGTTTAATCCCAGTGTAACTCCAGTGTAATCCCAGTTAAAATCCAGTTTGATCCCAGTTTAATGCCAGTTTAAATCCAGTTTAATCCTAGTTAAATCCCAGTTTAATACCAGTTTATACCCAGATTTATCCCAGTTCCCTGTTCAATCCTAGTTCAACTCCAGTTCAAACCCAGTTTAATCCCAGTTTAACTTCATCTTTTCTTTTAATGTGCAAAATAAAATTAAACAAGCAAGTTTCTTGACTTTTTAAATCTGGAAATCAGTCTCTTTGTACCGTTACCACTGGACCCTGCTGGAGTATACTGGACTCTATTCAATTCAATTTTATTTATAAAGCCCAATATCACAAATCACAATTTGCCTCACAGGGCTTTACAGCATACGACATCCCTCTGTCCTTAAGACCCTCACAGCGGATAAGGAAAAACTCCCCAAAAAAAACCCCTTTAACGGGGAAAAAAAAAACGGTAGACTCTACTGAACTGTAAAGGCACTTTGGTTCTTTGAGTGTTAGACTGTTAGAGGTCAAAGGTCAAACCAGTTACAAACATGTTAAATGTGTTTTAATGTTTGTTTTATTTAAAGGGCTGAACATCACCAGTTTAACCACAGTTTAATCCCAGTTTTACTTCAGTTTAGTTCCAGTTTAATCCCAGTTTCACTCTAGTTTAATCCCAGATTGACTTCAGTTTAACTCCAGTTTAATCCCAGTTTAACTCCAGTGTAATCCCAGTTTAACTCCAGTTAATTCCAGTTTAACTCCATTTTAACTCCAGTGTAATCCCAGTTTAACTCCAGTTAACCCCAGTTTAACTCCAGTGTAATCCCAGTTTAAAGTACGGGCGATGTAAAGTCAGAGGCGTCTTTCTGAGCATGTTAATGACGCGTGAACTGGGTGCGACTGCATCAAACTGGTTTTCATGGTTTCTGTGTTTCTGAGTCTGTGGGCAGAGCTAAAATGATCCCACCTACCTGACCCCTCTGTGGGCGGGGTTAATTGTCTCAGTGAATTATTTGAGTCATTATCATAAATCCGCCTCCGCACGATATAATCACTACAGCAGGTAGCATCACTTCTTCAGTCTGAGTTACAGCGCTCATCGTTACATCGTTTTTCTGTCACTTGACAAACTCAGAAAACCTGGATTTTAAATAAACATGAGTCTGGATGTTAATCCCAGTTTAACACCAGTTTAATCCCAGTTTAACTCCAGTTTAACTTTGATGTAATTCATGGTTCTGGTCGGAGTTTGTTTCTTAGGGCGGGGTTTGTTGATTGTGGAAAATAACACTAAACTTTACGTTTTTGTTTACAGTTTGTGTTTGTTTGTTTTACTGACTGAATCTTTTTGTTTTGATTTTGTTTTCCTGAACTGTTTATTTTACTGCTTTTATTTTGAAGTTCTGAATCAGCACATTGATCAGTGGGAACTTCCTGCTGCGGCTGCTTCACAATAAATGCTTTTCACCAGTGAAACTCTGGAAGGCTTTTACTGTGAAGCAGCTGCAGGAAGTGCATCCTGAAGGTTAGCGTCCGTTTGATCAGGTGACAGCAGCCAATCACATCAGAGTTATGGTACGCGTGGCAGTGAAACGTCACGGTGATGACACGTATTTCCTGTTAAAGACACAGTGTTCAGAGCTCATCCAATAAAAATCTATATCAGACGTTATTGGTCATTATCAGTGTTTATTTATAAAATAAATCAACTGTTACTGCTGCAAGACAAAAACATGATGATAAAGATGAAGATGATGATGGTGATGATGTCATTGATAATAATAACCACTACATGATTTTGTTGAAATGAAAGCAGCAGATCAGTAACTGACTTTACTGATGAAGACATTTAGTTTAAAGTAAAATTGTTCTTGATCAGTTTATCGGATATTGATCAGTTTAACAGTTATTGACCGGTTTAACAGTTATTGATCGGTGAATGAAAACATCTGCCTTCATTTTTATTTTATCTGGACGTCAACAGTTTTATGAAGCTGAATTTTATTTCAATAAACTGAATCAGAAAATAAAATCTGATCTTTGAAATATTTTCTGTTTGTTTTTGACAAGTTAAAGAAAATGTTTTTAACTTGTCAGCAGGAAGTCATTTTTTCATCACCTGTCATCAGATTACTTTTTTGATGGTTATAATCACAGATGTTTTAAATCACGTCACAGTGACACAAACATCATGAGCTGATCATAGATTTACAGAAAGGAAACGGTTCAAAGTTTTTATTTTCAATTAAAAACATTTAAAGTTAAAGCTATAGTTGGTAATGTTGGAGGTAATCGAGGAGGGAGGGAGGGACAGAGGGGGGCTCAGGCAGTAAGAGACATAAAGGCATCTGATTGGTTCTTTCCATTTGCACTGAATGGCAGGGGTTGGTCAGAGTTTTTACAGGCCTGCAGCTACCACAGATGTCAGATTTTTTTCATTCCTTTTTCTGAACACATTATGTATTGACTACTCTCAGGATGAAGGACCATTTTACCCAGTATAACAAGAAGTGTTTCTGAACAGGATTACCAACTATAACTTTAAAGCGTTACAGTGGACACGTCCACACATCTTGACTCGAGGACACGTCCACACATCTTGGCACATGGACATGTCCACAGACCTTTGAATTCACACAGAAACATTTGTTCTTGGATATGGACAGAGACGCTGCAGACGGCCACAGATGTATGTCACCTGGACTGAACTTCTTGAAGTGCTGCCAAGCAGGATTTTGGGTTTTAACTTCAGGTGGTTAATTTCTTCCATTACCATGGTAACTTAAACTGAACAGATAACAGATCAGTGTGTTTATAAGCACCGCCCATTGACCAATTAGGTCTTGTGGAGGATTTAGGGTTCTTCTGCTGTATGTCGTGGACTTACCACCCTGCAGACTGTGCAGTACTTTATCGCAAACAGTTTCCATGTCCATGGCGACTAGCACCACCGTCGCCACTACCCAGGCGAAACATATTGCTCACCTGACAGCATCCGGCGCTGGTGACCTTGAGCCCTGGTCAGTGGTGGCCAGGGGCTCTAGGGCTCGTCCATCTGCTCTGCCTCCGGAGCTGCCACTGGATAACAGGTATGACATCCTAAGCCTGCAGGACTTCCCTCCCACAGCTGGCCTGCGGAACCTGTACATCCAGCTGGCCATGGCTCTCACCAGTCCAGGAGTTGGCGTCCGCTCGTCCAGCCTGATCCCTCCCCTCCATCCCAGTCAGGAGAAACTGCGGCCTGGCACCACAAACCTCAGGCTCCATCCCGTGATCACCGTACCTCCAGGCAGTTGGAGGCGCGCACTCGGGAGCAGTGCACCCCCTCTGTGCTGGTTATGGGAACCTCCATGGTCAGGCACGTGGAAGTGCATAACTGCCACACCTTCTGCCACCCTGGTGCCCGTGTCAGTGAGTTTGCATCCTCCGCCCTCTAGCTGACTGCACGGCACAGCTCGGCCTCCACGCTGGTCCTGGAGGCCGGTATCAACGACCTCAGGAACCAGCAGTCAGAGGTCCTCAAGCAGGACTTCATCACCCTGCTGGACACGTTGAAGCGGCTAATTATTTCCGGCCCGCTCCCCCAACCTCGTTATGGTGACGTCATCACCAGCCGCCTTCGCCAGCTGCAACTGTGGCTGAAGAGATACTGTTTGGCCAAAAGTATTCCTTTAGTGGACAATTTTATAGTTTTTTAAATAGACCCTACCTTTTTAAACGGGACGGCCTCCACCCAAACCAGGAGGGATCACAGCTTTTATCAGTTAACATTGACCTGACCGTCTGATCCTGCGCCACAGCCACCTCCTGACTCACTTTTCACACGCGCAGACCCTCCACCCCTCACCCACCTCCACCCACCTCCACCCTCCTCCACTACACGTTGCACCACACACACTTTTCCCTCAGTAGAGGGAGCCGGAAACACAGGACATTCACACCATAAAGACCATCATTACACACAGAAAGTTGAAACCCAGGAATGTTTTTAGACCTAACTGTGTTTTTAACATCCCTTTGAAACGTTATGATGAGCGCACGTTTTATCATATATGATTTAATTTTAGACAATAACCTAAAGTCCAACCCCTCTCAAGGACTAGGGTTCCAAAGCCGGAACTATGTGTCGAGGTGAGGCCGACTATATCTAGCCATTGTTCTGCTGGGGGACTTCAACGCTCACGTGGGCAATGACAGCGGGACCTGGAGGGGCGTGATTGTGAGGAACGGCCTGCCCGATCTGAACCCGAGTGGTGTTCAGTTATTGGACTTCTGTGCGGGTCGCAGTTTGGTCATAACTAACACCATGTTCAAACATAAGGATGTCCATCGGTGCACGTGACACCAGGACAGCCTAGGTCGCAGATCAATGATCAACTTTGTAGTCGTATCATTTGACCTGCGGCCATATGTTCTAGACACTTGGGTGAAGAGAGGAGCAGAGCTGTCAACTGATCAGATGGTGGGGGAAGACGCCGCGCAGACCTGGCAGGCCCAAACGAACAGTGAGGGTCTGCTGGGAACGCCTGGCGGAAGAACCTGTCCAGATGATCTTCAACTCCCACCTCCGGGAGAGCTTCGACCGCGTCCCGAGGGCAGAGGGGGACATTGAGTCCGAATGGGCCTTGTTCCGCTCTGCCATTGTCGAGACGGCGGTTGCGAGCTGTGGCCGCAAGGCCGCTGGGGGCTGTCACGGCGGTAATCCCCAAACCCGCTGGTGGACACCAGAGGTGAGGAGAGCCGTCAGGCTGAAGAAGGAGGCCTACAGGGCATGGTTGGTCTGTGGGTCTCCGGAAGCAGCTGACGGGTACCGGCAGGCCAAGCGGAGCGCAGCAGCGGCAGTCGTGGAGGCAAAAACTCGGGCGTGGGAGGAGTTCGGTGAGGCCATGGAGGAAGACTATCGATCGGCTCCAAAGAGGTTCTGGCAAACCGTCTGGCGCCTCAGGGGGGGAAGGCGGCAACTTGCTCACACTGTTTACAGTGGGGGCGGGGAGCTGCTGATGTCAACTGGGGACATTATCGGGCAGTGGAAGGAATACTTTGAGGAGCTCCTCAATCCCACCAACACGTATTCCAGTGAGGAAACAGAGACGGGGGTCTCGGGGGCGGGTTGTCCAATTTCTGGGGCAGAAGTTGCTGAGGTAGTGAAACAACTCTGAGGCGGCAGAGCCCCAGGAGTGGATGAGATTCGTCCTGGATATTTCAAGGCTCTGGATGTTGTAGGGCTGTCCTGGCTGACACGCCTCTGCAACATTGCATGGACATCGGGGGCAGTGCCTCTGGAGTGGCAGACTGGGGTGGTGGTCCCCATTTTCAAGAAAGGGGACCAGAGAGTATGTTCCAACTACAGGGGGATCACACTCCTCAGCCTACCCGGTAAGGTCTACTCCAGGGTGCTGGAGAAGAGGGTCCGGTCGATAGTTGAACCTCAGATTGAGGAGGAGCAATGTGGTTTTCATCCCGGACGCGGAACCGTGGACCAGCTCTTTACCCTTGTCAGGGTGCTGGAGGGGGCATGGGAGTTTGCCCAACCAGTTCACATGTGTTTTGTGGATTTGGAGAAGGCTTATGACCGTGTCCCCAGGGGCATCCTGTGGGGGGTGCTCCGGGAGTATGGGGTTGGTGGCCCCTTGCTAAGGGCCATCCAGTCCCTGTCCCGAAGGAGCATGAGTCTGGTTCGCGTGGCTGGCAGTAAGTCAGACCTGTTCCCAGTGAGGGTTGGACTCCGCCAGGGCTGCCCTTTGTCATCGGTTCTGTTCATAACTTTTATGGACAGAATTTCTAGATGCAGCCAAGTGGTGGAGGGTGTCAGGTTCGGTGACAGGAGGATCTCGTCCCTGCTTTTTGCGGATGACGTGGTCCTCCTAGCTCCATCGAACAGTGACCTCCAGCTCTCGCTGGGGCGGTTCGCAGCTGAGTGTGAAGCAGTTGAGATGAGAATCAGGACCTCCAAGTCTGAGGCCATGGTCCTCAGCCGGAAAAGGGTGGATTGCCCACTCCAGGTCAGGGGGGAGGTCCTTCCTCAGGTGGAGGAGTTTAAGTTTCTCGGGATCTTGTTCACGAGTGAGGGTAGGATGGAGCGGGAGATTGACAGGCGGATTGGGGCGGCGTCAGCAGTGATGCAGGCGCTTAACCGGTCCGTTGTGGTGAAGAGGGAACTTAGCCAGAAAGCGAAGCTCTCAATTTACCGGTCGATCTACGTTCCAACCCTCACCTATGGTCACGAGCTCTGGGTAGTGACCGAAAGAATGAGATCGCGAGTACAAGCGGCCGAAATGATTTTCCTCCGCAGGGTGGCTGGGCTCAGCCTTAGGGATAGGGTGAGGAGCTCAGACATCCGGGAGGGACTCGGAGTAGAGCCGCTGCTCCTCCACATCGAGAGGAGCCAGTTGAGGTGGTTCGGGCATCTGGTAAGGATGCTTTCTGGACGCCTCCCTCGGGAGGTGTTTCAGGCATGTCCAACTGGGAGGAGACCTCGGGGCCGCCCCAGAACACGCTGGAGGGACTACATCACCCAGCTGGCCTGAGAATGCCTTGGGGTTCCCGCGGAAGAGCTGACAGAAGTGGCTGGGGAGAGGACTGTCTGGGCTTCTTTGCTGAGGCTGCTGCCCCCGCGACCCGGACCCGGATAAGCGGAGAACGATGAGTACGAGTACGACTACGAGTATGAGTACAATAACCTAGACAGTATTCTCCTTACAGAGACATGGCTTGGCACCGACACACCTGTTGTTCTCACCGAGGCTTCCCCACCAAATTTTAACTTTTTATATTCTATTAGGGGAGGCAAAAGAGGAGGCAGAACTGCATCAATAACAAAAAACACAATGTCCTCAAATGAAGTTTCTTTTAGCAGCTACATATCATTTGAGCATCATGCCTTTGTTTTTAGCAGCCCTCCTATCCTGGTTTACAGACCACCCCAGTACTCCACTTCTTTTATCAGAGAATTCTCTGAACTATTATCAATCATTCACTCCACCTACAACAGGATTTCAATAACAGGTGATTTTAATCTACACATTGACAACA